TGCTGCTTACATAACAAAACATATTATTGTACCATAAAAATTTTAATCCGAAGGAATATGCTCCAAAATGATGATAAAAGTACAGTATACAAAATGCATAAACAAGTCACACAGTCATTTATCATCATTGTCAAGCATTTTGTGCTGAACACAATTGCGTTGTTATATTTGATACAACTGGCACTTCAGTAGGTTTCTTTATGTAAAATATCACCACAGACATATAGTACATTTTGCCATAATATTACAATGGCTATGTTATCACATTTTAGCTCAACTAAAGCTTTATGAAAGCAGAACCAGCAGTCTACTACTAATCAAAATGTTGTTATACAGCACATGACTGTACATCTCATTGACACAAACCATTCCATGGCCATATTACCTGCAAAAGCTGGGAAAATACAGGGGTGCTTTGTTTTTTGGAAATAACATTTCCAAGAAAAGCCTCCAAAATTTCAGATTCGGTTATTAAAGAAGAGAGGAGGGATTGGAGAGATGGAAAAGTGGTTAAGAGCACTTGTTGCTCTTGTAAAGGACCTGAGTTCAATTCCTAACATCCATGTCATCAGGCAGCTCACAATTGTTTATCACTCCAGCTGTGGGGATCCCAAAGCCTCTTCTGGCCTCCTGGTCTTCCACATGCACGTAGACAATAGCAACACACACACACACACACACACACACAATCTTTTTTAATGGGAGGAGATGGGGAAACTATACTGTTGATAAGCAAAAAAAGTGTATAAGTGATAAACTTTTACCTTCTGTGAGTCTGGCCTCTGAGCTAATGATGTTGAGAAAGACTAAATATGATGCAGAAGTTCACAGATCTATTAGAAGGCAAGCTCTGAAACACAGTACAAAATTTGAGAGTTCTAGACTTTTAATTTGTATATATTAATTACACAACATAGTGGATTTTACTTTCACAGATTTATACTTGCATACAACTGTAGACATTTTTATTCCCCACCACATCTTTTCCCCATCCCTTTCCTCTCCTCAAATCATCTTCCACATCTCTAACAATCTACTGTCCTATATTCAGATGTTTTGTTTAACTTTCATAGATGAGGGAAAACATGAGTCTGACTTAATTTTCTTCCATTTTGTTCTTCTTATGGCCGAACAGTATGTCATTTCTGTTTCTTTTGTGTGTGTGTTTTCTTTATCCATTTATCAATCGACAGACACCTAGACTTATACCATAGCTTGATACTGTGATGATGAAGCTATGCAGGTGTCTCTGAATTATGCTGATTTGGATTCCCTCTGGGATGTACTCAGAACTAGTAGAACTGGATCATATGATAGCTCTATTTCCAATATTTCTGAATCTCCATACTGATTTCCACAGTTAACAGGACTAATACGAATCCTTATGACTAGTGAACAAGGGCCTGTTCTCCTCCTTACCTTCACTGACATTTGTTATTTTTATGAGGATAGCCATTTTTACTGTTTTCTGACTGTAGACACAATGTGACCAGTCACCTCACATTCTTGTTGCTATGCTTCCTTCATCATGATGGACTGTATCCTCCCTTCAGAGTTATTTTTGCCAATTATCTTGTAACAACAACGAGAAAAGCAACTAATGCACAAGGCTTGTTCCTAGATATTCTTTTTGCTGTGAATGAAATTGCTCTCCTGATTTCTTTCTCAGCAACTGGTTATTGATGGGTGGAAACGCTATTATTTCTGCATATATGCTGACTGTGCTATGTACCACTTGGCTGAATTGATTTATCAGATCTAAAAGTCTTCTGGTATAGATAACCCAAGCAGCTACAGCCATCATAATTGCAGCAAACATGTTACTAGTCTTATTCTGGAAAGTGTTCCATGAGCACCTGAAAATAAAGTTCATTTTTCAGCTGTTGGTGGAACATTCTGCAGCTGTGTCTATTTGATCTGTGGTGCAGTTTCACTCTGAGGCTCCTTATGTTGACATTTTTGTCTGCATGTTTCATTTATGTGAGAGGAACTATTGATTTATTATATTTGAGTCTATTTTCAACCAGAAATATTTGACACTTCAAAAATCAAATGAAGGTTTCTGACATCTTGGCTAAAAGCATTAAGAAAATACTACTTATCTGTAAGTAAAAGTAGCAACTTTATTTCCAGGATTCAAGAATATTTCATTTCTTCCTACACAGTAAAAATATCTAGTTAAATAACTCTTCTATCCTGATGTCTTAGCAAATATAGACCATCTCATCAACTGAAATAGATTATTGTGTTTACATATCTTATTAGATTACCTTAAAAGGTACAAAGGAGAAATGATTGACATGGTTGGTAATCTACTATACTTCTACATATCAGGTTTCTCTATTAGCCACAAGTCTGATTCTGGCTGCTTCCATTCTTCTCCAAGCAGTGTGTTAAAACTGAAAGGCTTGAAATATTCTAGACGATGGCTAAAAGTAAAGGAAGAAAGAAACTGAAATGAATTATGCATTTGTGAAATTGTGGTCCTATAGAGCTATTTGTTTTGTCACATTGGTGATAGTACAGCATTCCATTTTAAGGAATAACAAATGTTAAATGTATTCTCTATGTACAAGTTTCTTATTGTAGCTATCAAATACTCAGTTCTAAAAACATTCACCCATATTTCAAAACAGTCTTCTTCAATGCTACACATCGTTCCCTCACAGCTCAAGGGAAAAGTAAATATCAGCTCTCAAGGGGCTCAGTAAAGTATCTGCTAAAGAAATATGAATTCAATCCTTGTAATACACATAAAAATGCCAGGTGTAACATACAGGGATACTCCTGAACCAAGATACACGGTGGTGGGCCTAGGCCCTATCCTCTGACGACCCCCTATGGGGAGTAGAAAGGATATGTGATAGGTAGGGTTTTAGTTAGGGGGGGTGGTAGGGGAGGAGGGGAGGAAGTGGGAACTGGGATTGACATGTAAAACAATCTTGTTTCTAATTCAAATAACAAAAGAAAAAAATGCCAGGTATAGTGGTGCTCACTTGTAAATCCAGTACAGGGGAGGCAGAAACAGGATGATACCTGAGGCTCACTGGCCAGCCAGCCTACTCTTGGTAAGCTCCAAGGCCAATAAGAGACCTTGTATCAAATGAGGTGGACAGTGCTGCAAAAGAACAACACATGAAGGTATCTTTGGGACTCTACCTGCACATGCACACACACACACACACACACACGAAGAGAGAGAGGGAGGGAGGGAGGAAGAGAAAGAGACAACAGTCTAACTCATTTTAGCTGTAAGCCAATTTTAAGTTCTTGAATATGTTCTTATATTCAAACTTTCATAAGTTATGATGAATAAAGGACAGAGACAGATGTGTGTTCTTCCTTTGCCAAAGTAAAGGAGGCTAACATAGAAGAGTGATAATCGTGTTTTCATTTCAGAATAATCATCATTATTCTAAATCGTTCTCTTGTGGCTTAGTGAGTAAAGAAAGGCTTTTACCTGTGATTCAGTAAAGCTCTGAGCTATATGAAATCGCTCTGCCATGCTTCCTCCCTATCAATGTGCATTCATATTTCCCTGGAAAGGTACTAGCAAGTGAAAAGCAATGGTGGCACATCACCTTAGTATGATGGCTCTCAGTCAGTGGCACCTAGATTTCTATTCCTTTCTGCCCACCTGGCCAGGATGAACCAGTTTAGTTACATCAATAAATCCCAGAGTAAGATGCCAAGGATCAATAGGGAAGGAAGAAACACAGAAAAGAAAAAAAAAGCTAGGCAGAACGAGTCAGGACTAGGGTGAAAGGCAAAAGTAGATGTTTAAATGTGTCAAGCAGAATACAGGTATCTGCTAGAGGAAATGAAGGGGAAAAAGGCAAGTAAAAGCAAGAGAAGTTGAACGTGGAGAAGAAAGGTGGTGTCATATTCTAAGGGAAAAAGGGCAGGAATGTCTAGTAAGCAAAGACTAGGCTGTCTTTGCTAGGCTCTGCTAAGCATCCAGACTCCCCAGTGCTAACCACACTGACTAAACCAAGAGACAGCAGAAACCAAAGTCTGCCCTAAAAGAGTACTGAGTTTCCCTCCTTAAGGGACTAGTCCTCACAGTAATGCATGAAGCATTCAGAAGACACACGATGAGCTATGTTATTCCTACATGACAGGTTCAGATGCCAGGAAACAAGGCTAAAATGAGACAAGTGTTGAAGATACTATGGCTTAATATTTGCTGCCTCACAGTCATGACCTCTGACAACCACTCAGAGGGCATAAACTTGAGTCCCCACAGATAACATAACTGTTAAAGAGAAATCCCTAAGCCACACTGTCTACATCATATATTTACAGATCATTCAGAATTACTTAATGCAGATGTCATTTACCAATTGAGTCATTTTATCACAAGCATGGTTACCTAGAAACATTCTTACGAAGCAACCAAGAGAACAGAGATGTGACTAAGTACAAGTTCTTTAGTAACAAAGAAAAAAATTTATAATCCCTCTAGCCACACTACAAAACACAGATCCCTCTGGCTATTATAATACCTAGGAAAACCCCCTCCCCCCACACTACAAAACACAGATCCCTCTGGCTATTATAATACCTAGGAAAACGACCATAAATTAATTTGAAGGCATAACAGTATCAGCTGATGTATACTCACTAATATTCTTCTTATATAATCATGAAAGACTAAGTATTTTGCTGCAAATAATGAGATGCTCTATCTTGGTCAAAAGTTGAGGGTCATGAGGGAACACAGGGTTCTTACTATGTACTCATACATATGCTATTCTCAACTACCAAGTTTTACTACTGCTCTTCCAAGAACTAATTTCCACCAGGCAGTGGTGGCCTTTAATTCCAGTGCTAGGGACGCAGAGGCAAGCAGATCTCAGAGTTTAGGGCAAGCCTGGTCTACAGAGCGAGTTTCACAACAGCTAGGGTCACACAGAAACTCTGTCTAAACAAAAAATAAACAAAAAAGTAGTTCCCAAAATTCTGTAGTTAGAATGTACCTCCATTTATTGTCTACTTACAAATCAGGTTTTTGTCCTTGTTGCAGTTCATGCTGTGGCACAGGGTACAGGGCTTCATAACTTCTTTGATCGTTTGACCCATGAATGGCAAATGAGTTGAATTTTGTCACATTGGGTGGAAAATAACTCCAAGGAAGAAAAGCTATGCCTTCCCAGTTTGTCTCTCCTCTGAACACTTTGAATGATAATGGAAGCTCTTTCTATGAGAAACATAAAGGCAAGTTCAAACTTAGAGATACACATGCTGTGCATTATAGGATTTAGTTTCATATGTTTATTTACTCACTTTCCAAACATTTCTTCTTCCAGAGAGTAAAAGAACTAAATGCTGTCCATGTCTGTAAAATTAAGATTCCTCATGAGTGTTAAAGAAAAACGATCAAGATTGTAATTTCAGGGATCATTTCTATAGTCTGTTACAAGATAAACAATATTGTCTTCTTTCCTTTCTAACTGTAATGTATGTGCTTGTAGCTAAATTTCCAAATAAATAAAAAGTGCAATATAATATTGGATAACTACAGGGAGAGCTAGTGTGTCACATTATTTAGGAACCACAACTTTGGAATTACTGTTTCCTAAACAACTGCTGACAAATCATAGCATTTCACTGGCTAACACTACTTTTCATATTCTTTACACACTGAGCAATTTCACTGGGCCCTGCTTTTCATATTCTTTAGACAGGAAATTATATAAAATACTTCATTTGGTTAGATAACACAATGTAAGAAAAAAAGAGATAATCATGATACTTAAGAGTTTAAAATAAAAACAGCTGCAACAACTAAAGCACTCCAAGGAAAGCTGGGGCTGATTTCCAAGTCCTAACAAAACAGCGTAACTAATGGTTATTTCTGTAAGAAACTTCCTTGAGGCCCATTAGGAAGGTAGAAGATGTAAAATATAGATTGACCAAAACTAGAGAACAAGGCAGAGATTTTTAACCTATGTCTGTTTTTTCACACTGCTATCCTTGAACAGTTTGCCATCTGTTTTCCAGCTTTCTACCATTTGTTCAGGCACCAATGTCAAATCTCCAAAAGCAAGCATAATACATTTCAAAAGGAAATTCTAATGGGAATGAGTAAGTGGGATTATCGGAGTCTGTAAGAAGCAATGGATTGCATGTATTTACATGAAGCAAATTTTCCGCCTCTGGAAGTCTATCAAACATTTCCACCCAGATGGTCCTTTGTGCGCTTTTGGAGCAAGGATTTTCTGCAATAAAGTACTCTAACAGAAGACAAGTAATGCTTTCCATTTAAAAATCCTCTGATTAATTTTACTGTTTTTATTGGGCTTTGGAAAGATCCTAGGATGCGTAAAACTTCTTGCAAATTACAACAATGTTCTTCTTGCTGTTTTTCTAGCTGTTAATTAACCAGTACAGGAATTGACTGCCTGAGGCAAAACCATGATTCTTGATTATTAACTATCCTGATGTATATGAAACCAAACTACCCTGAGGATCTTAATTTTAAAAACTTTTATACACAATGACTATCATGTAGTTTCGTAATGAAAAACTATTTTTCTATTTATCCAATGTTAGATTGTCACTTCATGAAAGTAATCTGATACAATCTAATAAAAAACAAAACAAAACAAAATTGCAGAGGCCAGTGAGATGGCTCCACAGGTAGAGGAGACTGCTGCCAAGTCTGATGTCCTAAGTTCAATTCCAAGAACCCACTTGGTAAAAAGAGAGAACTTACTCCTGCACTTTGTCCTCTGACCTCTACATGTTAGACATGGTGCACTTACACACATGAACACATACATACACATATCTAAAATAAAAGAATAAGTACTTTTTTAAAATGTAAGACAAATAAATCTAAGCTTAAAATTGAGATTTTTGATACATCCAAGTTCTTTATTGTCTTTTAGTCAAATTAAAAATGTTTGTCTTAGCTGTTTTTCTCTGCTATGGGACAAAAGTCAGTACATGATAGTTAAAATTGTCCGACTTTTCATGACCGTTTTTAAGAACTAATCATGGCTTTAAATAAAATATTTTAACATGCAAGTTGAAAGATAATGTGAAAATATATCTAATTATTCTGAATTTTAAAAATAATTGCAAGCCTCATATGGTAGTGTGCATCTTCAATCCCAGCACTTGAAGGTGGAGGCAGGTGATTTTTGTGAATGCCATCCTAGCCAGGGCTGCATTATTAGACCTAGTCTCAGAAAACAATGCAAAACAAAACAAAAACAAGTTGCAAATAACTGCATTTTCCATGTTAGCGTTAGCAAAGAGCAAAACAAACAACTAACAAGTGGGGATCTAAAGTTTCATGTGGATTAATTGCAACTAGTCTACTAAGGAACAAAGACTATTAGACACTGATACTGAGAAACATTTAAGTGGCATCTAAAATAAATAAAAGCAATATATAGAAACATCACAAGTATTAAAAGTATGCTGTGATTTAGATAACAGGTAAGCATAAGTTTCCTTATCTTACATCTACTCAGAAAAAATGTTTGTCACCGTGTAAAGAAAGTTCCCACGTAAATATTGAAGTTCAAAGAAATTCCAAGACAACAGGGTGTAGTGGCTAACACCTTTAATCCCCAAGAGTCCCAGACTGACCAGAGCTATACAGTGAGAACCTGTCTCAAGACAAAAAGTCCAAAGGTAATATTTTTACTGTGAGTCTTGGAAAGTTCAGGTATGATTTAAATTACATTCTTGGCATTAAATGCAAAAATGATATACCACGTGTTCAAAATAATGAATGACAACTAGATGAACACATAAATACATAATTACATAATATATAAAATTCAAGTTTAATCATTCAAAAATCTAAAAGAAACATTTCTGTAAGCTAGTAATTCATTATATCTTTATGTCTCCCATTTTTTATTGAAAATAAACTTTTTCATACAATAAATTCTGATCAGTTTCCTCTATCTCTTGGTAGATCCTCCCCACACCCCACCTATCTAACTACACACTTTTCTCTCTTTCTTTAGAAAACAAACTGGCAAATAAAATAAACTAGATATGAAGATAATGTCTTGATTAGGGATAGGAACTCTCCCTTCACTTCTAAATAGTTAATATATAATAGTACAAACATATAAAGTAATAATTTATTGATAGTAATTTTTTCCACTTTGTAGAAAAAACTATCACGTTTATTACAAAATCATTTATATCAATAAGCCAAAAAAATCACATCAACATAATATACTCAAACATGTATATATGTGTGTGTGTGTGTGTGTGTGTGTGTGTGTGTGTGTAGTCTAAACATAAATTCTAAAAGTATGCATTGTATAAGACAATAGAGATTTAAAATTGACACATGTTAATATGACCACTACATAGCTCAACTTAGTGAGCTTTACTACAACCATACTATTTATAACTAGAAAACAAATATATTCAAATCGTGTAGTAATAGTTTAAAAAAAAATGGTTTATACTTACGGACAAAGTTCAACTTCTAAATACTGCTCAGTTGTATCATTCAAGAAAAATGCTTCTACAACTTAGGAAAACAGACAAAACATGGGAAATTTTATTTTGCTTACATAGTAAATAATTTATTCCTTTCTAATATAAAGTGAATTACTAAGTTTCTTAAATCATCATACTATCCCCAGTAGGAAAGGAAGAAAAATAAATACAAAGTCTGGAAGAAAAGCATAGGAAATAAGTCACCCTCAATTTCTCCCATAGAAGTCTGCCATAAATTCAAAGGAAATACAAAGCCTAGTGATGGTGAGGCCATAGGGAAATCAACATGTCTGCACAAATAGACTTTAGCCTAGTTATCTTCCTCTTGGAATTTATCCCAAAGAAACAAATCAGACAACTAGAATAAGAAATTAAGTACAATTCTACCCATCAGAGTATGACTCAAAAAACTAGGAATGATATAAATAGCTATCTCTTCTTATATAAAATTATTTCCTGGTACATGAATCACCTATTATTCAGCAAAACTTATTAAGTGCATTACAGGATGCATGCATTCCATACAATAGAATATAACAGTGCTATTAAAATCAAAGACAGTGAAATATGTATAAAGCAGTAACTAAATGTATGAGCCATGAAACAAATGTGGATTTAAATATGTAATGCATTTGAATGTGTATGCCAATGATTACCTGTCTACAACAAGGGCACAACAAATATGAAGAGTGGTGGGGCTAGTGTGGTGGCTCAAGCCTGATGATCTGAGTTAGATCCCCAGAATCCACATGGTGGGAGGAGATAACCAGCTCCCACAAGTCCCCTGACCTCCACAAGTTTGGAAATGTTTTCTCAAACTAATTTTAAAAAAAAAACTAATTAAAAAACTACTGGTTTTTGTAAGTGGTGATTTTTATTATAATTTCAGGGTTATTTTGAAGATGAGTTGCTTTAAAAATTAATTAATTGTTGGTGTAATGCATCTTTCTTGTAAACAGCTACAACAGCACAAAATATATGAAGTGAAAACCACAGTCCTTTTCTTTCTACTTTGGACTAAAACTTGCCAGACCTTTTCTAAGCTTCTACAAACAATTTACCTCTTAAGATATTTAAAAAATAAATATAAAATCATACTTGACTACAATTTGCTTTTTTGCGTTAAAAACCTTAGCTGAAGGGTAAGTTAAATTTTTCATTTAGAGAGTTAACAAATCCTTCTGGCTTCAAAGTGAAACACAGACTTAGGAAAAGAGATTACTTAGAAGCAAGGCTCTGTGCTAACTAAGTAAATAAATCCCAATACACTGAGTGAGAAGTTTTGGGATAAATTCTTAATTTCTATGTAATGTAGTATTTTATATCTATGGGGATGGCATCGCGAATAGTATTTCAGAAAGAACCCTGCAGCTTGATGAGGATATAGTACAAGACAGTCAGAGAACAAACCTAAAACCATTTAATTTCCTGTCATGTCTTTCAGCCTTAATTTGATATGTGAGATTACTTGAGAGCAAAAAGTAAATATTAAACCTTATGCTGACAGAATTTCTCCAGTAAGTAACACATTGTCATATTCCCATACAGGAGGTTATTTAGGTAAAAGTGGCAATTTAAAGATTCTTAAAAAACAAAATGGGGAAAACGAACTCTTTCTAGAGCAGATGACGCAAGTAAAGGAAGGAAACATGGCAGCAACACAAACATCTGGATTTGGCATTGCCATTTTTCTCTGTTCTGCTCATATATTGGAGCCCCATTGGTAATGGGAGGGAAGTCACAATGACAGATGGGTAGTCAAGATCAGAAACTGAATGTCAGTTGTTCAGAAGCATATTACTTCCTAACAGCAAGATAAAATAATAGTTCTCTGAGAGGTTATTAGAAAAAGATTTATGTTTGTAATAAAATACAATACTTCTACTTACCTTCGTAATTCCACAGTTCACTGAAAGGCTTTCCTGGTTCTCCAAGAGGAGTTAGAGGATCATTGAAAAATGGAGCACTAACCTCCATCTTCACTCCCTTGTCCCCTGAACTCAGCTTGACACACACTGGCTCATGCTTCACTGGAAAACCATCCCAAGTGTATTCAATTTTAAAATCCATCTGAAGAAGCAAATTAAAACAAATTGGTTAACAACATATAATAATGCCCTTTACTTGAAAATTGCAATGTCAAACAGGAGACAGCTAGGCAGCAGAGTGACAAGAACAAGATCCTAGGAGTCAAACGACCATCTGGGTTGTGGCAAATTATGTAGTCTAAAAGATTCATGACTTTTAATCTTGACATAGCTCTGTTTATTTGTGGTTTGCAAAAATCATTGTAAAATGTTATAACTAAGTCCACTGAAGAAATTATAAATGTACATAATTATACAAGTTTATTTTCCATATTTAGCCAAGATTAATCCTTCTTGCAAAAATAAGTAAATATATCCACCTCATTAGTAAACAACATTTTTTTAACAGATGGTAACATTATTTGTGTGTATATCAATTATCTGCAAATATTTTCCACTTTCATAGCATTTTTTAATTGAACAAAATGATGGGGTTTATTATGACATTTCATACATGTATATAATATATGCTGATAATCTTCAATTCCCTATTACTATATCTTGTTCACCTCTCAATGTTCCCCTTCTACTTCCAAGCCCTTCTTCTACCTTCATGTATTATCTCTCGTTTTCTTTTTCTATTATCAATATATTAATGCATATATATTAATATATAAATTCTACCTGCTGAGTCCATTTATTGTTCATATACTCATACATGTTTTTAGGGTTCACTATTTAGTATTGAGTAACCAGTTAGTAGGCTCATCCCTGGGGAAGACTGACTCTTCCTCTCTTGGCAGTCATTAATTGCCTGTAGCTCTTCAAGAGAATCGAAGACTCAAACATAAATCTATACACCAATCAACACCTGATTTGTGATAAAGAAGCCAGAAATACAGAGTGGAAAAAAAAACCAGCATCTTCAACAAAAGAGAAATGTAAACATGAACCCAGCCACAAAGCCTTTGTCCTACAATGGTATCCTGCCTGTAAGATATGCTAGGACAATGGTGGCACAATATCTGATTTGGCTTAAGGCCCACATGTCTGACACTGCCTAGGTGGTCAAGAACATGGGACCAGATAGGCCATGGACCTAGGGGAAAACCAAATACTACTGTTCTTACAAAAGAAATACAGCAATATAATGACTCCTAACAACATTTCTGCTATACCCATAGATCAGTGCCTCATTCAATCATCACCAGAGAAGCTTCCACCTGCGGTAGATGGGAACCCAAAGACTCACAACTGGACAATGTGCAGACAGTGAAAAAGCTTGGAACACCCAGTCTAAAATGTATGTCTCCATCAAACCTTTCCCTTCAGACTTCAGAGAACTTTATGGAAGCAGAAACAAACAGATTGCATAAGAGCCAGTGAGGATAAAGACACCAAGGAAACAAGGCCTTCAAGACACTGCTGGGACTGATGCTCATATGAATTCAGAAACAGTGGCAGCACAAACAGGATCTGCACAGATTCAAGCTAGATGGGGTCCCAGCACTAAGCTGGGAAAGTGGACATGATCTCCAACCCCTAAAGAAAAAGTCATTTCCAGTTGACAACTGCTCACAAAGGAGAATTTAGTTTTCTCCATTGGAGTCTCACTGAACATACAAACCACTTTTAAGGATAGGCACCATGCCCAGGACTAGATGACCAAGTCAGAATGAACTTAATGGTATTTGGGGAGGTGTTTGGTTGGTTGGTTGGTTTTGGTTTTGTTTGTTTGATTGATTGATTTTGTTTTGCTTTGTCTTATAATGCTTTATCTGGGCTTTTTTTTTTAAATCTTATTGGTCTTTTACTTATATGGCTTCTGATTTTGTGTTTTTATGGATTTTCTGTGGGCCTCTGTGTTACGTGCTTCTCACACTTCTTTGTTGTTGTTTTTGGCTTTGCTTTGTTCTGTTTTCTAGAGAGAGAAGGGGTGGACTTGGATGAGTAGGGAGGTGGGGAGGATCTGGGAGGAAATAAGGGAGGGAAAACTGTGATCGGAATTATTAGATGGGAAAAAAATCCATTTTCAATTTAAAAATTAAACTAAAATATATAATCTTGCTGACCTGTTAACAATCTGAAAATAACAAGCTCATAGACAACTAAACCTCCTCTCAACTCCCTTAATCATTTCCTAAGACTTCACCCCTGACTTTCTGTTTCGGCACACAGGCTGATGAAATAGGTATCTTAATTGCCCATGGCCTTTCTCACTTGGAGTAATCCTGGCATTCTCTATCACAGCTGCACTGTTCCACTCTCATTAGAATAACTTATACCACATGATATGTATTTATTATCTCAGTCTAAGCTAGAATGCTTTGACTAGGAGATATTTATAAGTCAAATGTATACTGCTCTGGTGTCTACAACTAAAATTCTGAGTGTACAGTTTTAAGCAGAAGAAACCCACTGTGTCAGTTACATCAATGTCTTGTTAAATGCTATGTATTAATATAATAAGACATCTAAATCACCTCCTTTTCCTAAGGCTCAGGAACATTAAGGAGTAAGGGATAGAAAGATTGTAAGAGCCAGAAGTCATGGAGAACAGGAACAAAATAGTGTGTTCTGGACATGACAGGACTGTTGTACTCATGAAATCATAGCAGATATGGCTACGTGCACAAGATCTGTACAAGATCAAGACAGCCAACATTTCAGTATGAAAGAGAAAGAGATTCAAATGCATCTAATCCCTAAATGAGGAGCAATTGACAGTTGATGGCTTCTGGGGGAAGAAGAGTTAGTTTCCTTTAAGGATGTGGCCCCTGGTACATTGACCCAGATCCAGTCATGGCCCCCTATGTATGAGTATATATTAGCATCACAAACCAGATGCAGTGATTATTTGAAAAGAAAATTAAGTTGGAATGGAGCAAAGGGGCAGGAATGGGTCTAAGAAAAGTTAAGGGCAGAAGTATAACCAAAATCATTGTATGAAATTCTGAAAGAATTAACATTACCTAGGAGTTCCCCATCCTACTACACACTCTTACTAGGAGTTCCCCATCCCACTACACACTCTTACTAAGTATTCACCATCCCACTACACACTCTTACTAGGAGTTCCCTATCACACTACACACACTTACTAGGAGTTCCCCATCTCACTACACACTCTTACTAGGTGTTCCCTATCCCACTACACACTCTTACTATCAGCTGCTCTGGCTTTCTTTTTTTTAATTTTTATTTTATTTTATTAGTTCAAATTAGGAATAAGCTTGCTTCAGATGTCAATCCCTTCTCCCTCTCCATCCCCTACCCCCTGCTCTGGCTTTCTTAAAGCAATGTTGTTACTCAATAGTTTTCACTTTTAGTTTATCTTTCCCAACTTACACAACTTTCTCAATTTAAAAATTCAATCTTTTATTTCTATATAAGGAAATAAAAAGAGAGACAGACTCCTGGAGCATTCATTCAAGAGAAAAAAAAGCTTTAAAAAAGGTTTTAAAGAATTCATAAAACAATTGTCATTGAAAATTTCCAATTTCCTTTATTTCCAAAAAAAAAATCCTTTAATTTTTCTACAGTACATCTTCTTTATAGTTTGCAAGCTGCACTGCACCACACATTTCTAAAAGAAATGAAGGAAGGAGGAAGTGAAGTCTGAGGAATCCATGCTAGCTGGAGGCAGAGGGAAAGTAAAATGATTTAAGTAGGAGCTTCTGACAGACTTTGAAGAGAAGATAAAAGGACATACCAGTAGAATAGACCTGGAAGCTGTTAATTCTAGTTTGGTTGTGGTCTCCAGGCAAGGTCTTAGAGGAGGGCTCCTTGTTAGGCTATGCCTAGCACACGTTCTAGGAGGAGGGACATGGAGCTCTGAAACTGACAAACCCAAGTTTTAAGAGAAAATGTTTCAAGGACATACAAAACGAATATTGGAACGCTTTTAATCATACCATAGAAGTCTGGTCATTTACTCCTTTTGTTATTTTAAGGAGGAAGAATAATTCAGTGATACATATTATAAAACCTTTTGAAAATGAACTGTAAATCACTGAGATAATAAAATATGTAAAGCAACAATTCATTTATTTCAACTAGAGACTATAAACATTAAAACATTAGATATAATTTATGTTAATGGTAGCTAAAGGTTGTGATATTGAAGCCATACTTTCTAGGCTCAAATCCTTGGTGTGATGAGCTAGCTTTGAAACTTGCTTAAACTCTTGGTATATTGTTCAGGTTTGTTTTGCAGGATACTAGGTGTTTAGTGTCAACTTATTAAAATTAATAGTGAAATCAGTCATTAATATTTCAATGTATGAAAGTTCAAATGATGTTTATTTTGTCCATGATGGTATAAAACCAAACACTTTAAGTATAAACATAAAAGTTTTATTTCACTATTCAACTTACACAAAACCCATGCATTTTATATAGAAGTTATACTTTGCTTTTTCCATGTATATTTTATTAATGCTGAGTATAATAAGTATTAAATTTATAGCTACTTAGCCAATTCCAACTTACATTACAATACAGCATTCAAATGTAGGGAACTCTCTTTGAGGGGAGTCAGTAGAAGTTTCATTAGAAAGTATTCTACACTGAAGAGGTGGAGCTTGCACAATCAGTGTAACTTAATGTTAAGCTTATGGGCACTAAAAACCAGACCAGGTTGAATCTCCACTTATTCAAAGCTAATTTAAACTTTTGTACAGCTATTACAGACATATAGACATTTTAAAGCTAGTTTTTAGAGGAACAAAGCTAACACTGTTTATGCTAGATTATGGGTACAGGGTTACAAAACTTAAGTTGTTGAACAGAAAGTCCAACAGAACTTCATCTAGAACATACTTGCATTTTGTTTTGTTTTTGTGTGTGTCCCTGTGGGAGAGTGTTCACTCCTGTGTATGGGCTGAGGTTGAGGTGGGGTGTCATTCTCAAATGCTGTTCACATTTTCTTAACTTTTTTATCACCAGGTATTTTCTCACAGAAAAATAAATCTTATTAACATACCTGAACTTTTGAGACAGTGTCTCACTGACCCTGAAATTTTCCAGTTTGTTTAGGCTCCTGGCCAGAGAGCACCCATTTCCCCTCAACCTTTTGTCTGCACCTCCCCAGTACTGGCTCACAGGGCCCTGTCTGGCTTTTTATGTGTGCTGGGAATCCCAAATCAGGCGAGCCATCTCAGGACCAGGACATGTTTAGTGAAACTTTATTTCAATGTGTAAATATATAATCAATTTAAAAGGCTCTAAAAAGCCAGTGATAAACTACTAGTGAACTTTTTTTTATTTTTTGCTAATGTCGTTTTCTCCAGTATTTTTGTATATGTGTATTTGTGTGTTTTAAGCTCTACGGCTCAAATTCACACACCACCACTTCTTAAAACTGGGAATGGTAATTTATCTATCAATACAAGTTTTATTTATTTATTGCAAAATTTTATCCTTCCTTAGATTTGAAGTACCTGCAGGGTTTGCAGGCTAGCCTAAAACCTGACTACGTGACCGGCTTAAATATTCAACAACAGCTCTCTTTCCTAGGAGCAGGAGGGTCACTTCTTCCAGACCCAGAAGCGACAGCTCCAAGCTCACTTGAGGGGGGTCTCCGAGTCACCTCACCCCAGGACCCACAGCCCTCCCTGCACACGCCCCACAAACGCATGGTGTCTACGAAACCAAGACTCGGAGAGCAAGGAAAATATGTATCTAGTGCCTGCTCCCGTCAGTCAGTTTTCGGCTGTCTTACAAGAAGATAGAAGGGAAGAAATAAAAAAATTAAATTGCGCCACACTACCTCAGACACACACCACGGCACTGCGGAAGGCGCCAAGAGG